GTTGCCTTATAGTTGATGTTGATACACAAATTAATAATGACACTCCCACATCAGTCTTCCAGCGATGAGGAAAGTGAAGAGTCAGAAGGCTCAACCTCCTTGCCACAGTCCAAACTTTCATACAGGGAAGGAATTGGTGTTGGTGAAGAGGCGGGTCCAGCAAAACGTAGCAGACCCCAAGGCCGGCCAACAGCACCACCGCCTTCTCAGAAACTGCTACTACAGCATCAACAGAGCCGCAAACGAGCAACTGAGCTTCAGCTCAGATATAAAAAGAGAGTAAGTTGGGGATACTTAAGTTTGTTTCACATTGATTTGTATTTATTTTAGTTGCTGCTGACTTTTTTTCCACAACTGAAACACCTGTTTGGAGAAACTGTCTCTGACTTTAAATAATAAGCTAACACTTTATCTATTCATAGATTATTTTTTTCTGTAGCTGACACTTCCCTACATCTTTTCTTTTTATTGCAGCTGAAACTGGATCGGGTCAAAATGTTAACAGTAAGTGGTGCACTTATTTCTGCAGTTATTCTGTATTGCATTTGAAACTGTTGCATTTGTGAAGTTTTTTTTTTTTTTATCAACTTTTCAATGTTTTATATCTGCAGCAGATGACACAATTCTGCACAACCATTTTTTAGAACTAGATTTGATGTCTGAAACATGTCATGTCTTATTGATATTTGCCTTTTCCCTCTAAACAGAAATCGTCATCTCTAGCTCATTCCCCGAGGCTGCTGGGCTCCAGGGTGCTGCCTCGTCTGCGCTCTCCAGCGAGCAGACTACCTCAGGGCAGAGGTCAATGTTCCACCTGGGCGAATGGGTCTTCTTACCACAGCAATCCAGTAGAGACCGAGTCCTTTGAGCAGCAGCAGCAGTCTTCCCATGGTTTAGTGCTTGCACCCAAAGGAGAGCCCCGCAGGGGGAGGGGACGAGGTGTGAGGCTGCGGGGAGGAGGGGCAGGAAAAGGCATCAGAGGTGGTCATAGCCACGCAGAGTTGGAAGAGGACAGTGAGGACAGCAGCAGCAGCAGCACCAACAGCAGCAGCAGTGACGACGACGAAGAAGAAGAGAGTGGGCAGAACAGCGGGAGGGGAGGTGATAAAGAGAACCAGCCACAGTTGAGACGGGAAGGACAGGCAGCCAAAGAAAGAGAAGAGGACGGGTTTGAGATGGCCAACCAAAATGGAGCAGGTGAGGATGAAGAGGAGGAGATGGAGCAGGAAAGTCGAACAGGGGACAGAGATGCAACATATCTTAATAAAGTCACACTCCAAAGGCCAACCAGAGCCAAACAGGACCCGTCAGCTATTGTCCCCAAATTAGAGGCTGTTGCCCCTCACACTGCTACTTCCACAGTACACAGCCAGCCCAGAGCCCTCCTCAGACCCCCCATTAGAAATCGCAGCCCCTGTCCTGATCAGCACTCAAGTAGGCACACACCACCGCAGACTCGCAGTGGACACACTGGCACTCGCACTTCCCACTCAGAGAGACTTGAGGCCTCAAAAAGAATGAGACTGACCAGGCCAGCCAAACTGAACAATGGAGCTTCCTCGTCTTCATCTTCTGAGCTTCCCCATCTCCGCGTCCCTCTGTCTGCCCTGCAGGAAGGAGGGGGCGAAGCAGAAAGGGGGAGTGTTGGGAATAACCCAAGTTGTGAGAGAGAGGTGTGGGTTTCTGTCTTCCGCTACTTAAATCGTGCAGATCTCTGCGTCTGCATGGCAGTCTGCAAGAACTGGTACAAATGGTAAGACCTCTTCCCTGACACTTTACTAACAAATCTCCTTAAAGTGTTTTTTGTTTCGCTACGTTGTGTCGTGTTCTCTGGTTAATGTGGCCTCTATAGCTGGTCTCTGCATTAAGATAAAGAAAAGCTTCACACTTTTTAAGAGAGCTTTACAAACTCTACTGGACATTTGGTTTTTGTAGTTCAGCAAAGTGATGACTGTTACCTGGCTGATCACCTCAGGATCTCAGCATTTTTATCTGATATTTATGATAACTCTGAATCTGGACCTTTTTTTAAGTTGTTAAATTATGCCAGACTACTGGTGTGAATCACACGATCGAGGTATGTTTAACTGGGCCGTCTTGTGGGTCATTTCAATTTCATGTTGTAGAGGCAGGATAATTTTGCTTCTACTTTTTAAATGTTAAAAAGATTTTAGTGAGATTCAGTTGGATTTCAGTCTTTAAAATCAATTCAGACCACTTTGATTTGTATTTGTTAAAAGGCCCAGTGAGCTCTTTTGAAAGCCTAAAAGATGGTTTATTTAGACTGTATTGCTGACCCATATATCTACAAATGCACAGATATGTTCTTTATGCATATGTTTTCATCTGTAGGTGTTTAGACAAGCGGCTTTGGGCGCGGATTGACCTAAGCATCAAGCGCACGGTTAGTCCTCAGGCCTTGACAGGCATCATAAAGAGACAGCCGGTCACACTCAACCTCTCCTGGACCAACATCTCTAAAAAACAGCTCAGCTGGCTCATTGACCGCCTGCCTGGTACACACTCAAGTTTTCTTCCAGGATTATTGAATTCTGAAAGGGACAATATAGATGTATTAACAATATTAACACATAAAAAGGGGACTCAATTTTTAGATTGTATGACATTAAACACTATTTAAATCTTACCCATTTTACAGGGCTGAAGGATCTGATGCTGGCAGGCTGTTCCTGGTCCTCTGTTTCAGCTCTGTGCTCCTCTGGTTGCCCTCTCCTCCGTTCACTTGATCTGCGATATGCAGATGCCGTCAAAGATGCTCAGATCAGGGATCTAGTCACTCCTCCAGGTAAGGAAAGGGGGGCCTTAGAGGGTACAAAGTGATCATACGATGTGCATTATCAAGTAATAGATTTAGTATAGTTTTCTTTCCTTTTCCTTTCTTTTCCTTTTCCTTTCTCCCTTTCCTTTACCAAGTTTACAGAATGTCTCTGCTTGTTTTCTTTTATCTCTGGTCCAGGCTGTGACAATCGTAGTCAGTTGCGGTCCATGCAGTGTTTGCGGCTAGCAGGTTTGGACATTAGCGACTCCACTCTGCGTCTGGTGATCCGCCACATGCCCCATTTAACAAAACTGGATCTGTCCCACTGCAACAGTCTCACCGACCACTCCATCAATCTGCTGACTGCAGTGGGCTCGTCCACGCGAAACACACTCACAGAACTCAATCTGGGAGGTAGGAAACTGTTGGGAAGTATATGGACTGGACAGCATTTCTGGGAAGTTTCATTCAACTGGAGATAAATGTTTTCACGTTTCTTTTCCAGGCTGCAGTAAACTGACAGATACGTGTCTGAAGTATCTCCGCCGCCTCTCTTGCATCATGCTGCTTGACCTACGAGGCTGTAAAGGTGTCTCCCGCAAGGCCTGTGAGGCGTTCATCTCTGAGCTGTCGGTCAACACACTCTACTGCCTATCGGACGAAAAACTGATCCAGCGGATATCCTAAGCGGCTCGCCTTCTCTCATTGCAGACGTGATTTGGGATGCAAAAGCGGAGGAGTGGATCCTGATGTGAATCTGTGCAACAGAGAGAGGCAGGGAAGCTCATGCACCTGTGCCACGTAAAGGAAGGGTGGGGTCTAAACTGGGAGGGCTCGCTGACTGGTGCTGTTGGGAGGGGGACAAATGGCATGTCACAGCTGGAACGATGCTTCTTTTCATTACATTTTATTTTGCCATGTACTTAAAAAGGAAAAAAGGACTCAGGAGCTTTTTTGCTGTTCTTTTGGGACTTCGTGGTGAGTGGAGAAAACATCTTCTTTTTTTTTTCTCTCTAAATTTTCCTAAGTGGGAGAATGCAGGCAATTAAAAGCTGTATTAGACTATACATCCTGTGGATATCAAAGTCATCAACTCTTCTTTGGACAGAGCCAGTCATGACTGTCATCACAAGCTTTCTGCCTTGAGAAAGATAAGCAGAGACTTTGAGTTTCATCCGCAGAACAAACATGCATTGTTTTGTTGAACTTAACTGATTTCAGCTACTTTTGGGTGCTTCAAGCATATTAATATCTTTTTCTGTTCAGTTGTTTGATGACTTGCGCTTCATGCACAACAGCTATGCTTTGATACTTAAAAAACAAACAAACAAAAAAAAAAGGAAACTAAAGGTGAAAGGACTTTGATGTCAGACTTGGGAAACGTGAGCTACAGGAATGACCTATGTTTACCAGATGTTTATTCAGCTTTGTAAGTCACTGGTTGCGACACAAGTCCAGTTGTATGGTGTACATGGATGCTAAGTGTGTAAGAAAGTTAAAAGTGTGAGTAGGCAATCAACATGGCAACAAGACCTCACCCCAACAAAAGGGCAGGTTGCATTAAGTGTAGGGGACGAGCCAAGGATAAGGTGTCAGATAAATGGTGCATTTTCAAACAACGTTAGACTTCAGGTGCTATAATTTCCAAACTCCTTTTGCTTTGTTTTTGTACAGAGACAACATTTAGAGCAAAACTATTCTAGATTAAACCGCTCCCCACCTGTCTTTGATACACCCGTTTTGCTTTCATTTACAAATAAAAAGAGAGGAAAAAATGTGACCATCTACTTTTCACATGACTTTGTCAGATTCAGTGTAGAGATGTTTTGTTTAGGGAGGTGGGGGTTCTGCTCATTTCTTTGTTCCCTTATAGTGTTATGGCTCTATATCAAAGGTCTCCTCCCAGACTGCTCCTCCTGGCCATATCCCTTAAAAATGAATATAAGAATATAAATGTATACTTTTGTGTAAATGTGTTTTTCCTCTTTTAGATTATCAAAACGGGGAACCTGTAGCATTGTAATTATTTTCAGAAGCCTTTTTCACTTTATGTTATTTGTGTTATTTTTCAAGAAAAAAATAAATAAAAGAATGATAAACAATGGCTGGGTTTCGTGATTTCTGTTGAGCTGAAAGTGGGGAAGATGCACTGCAATTACATCACTAGTATTTTCCTGTTTATACCATCTATCCACTCCTCGGTGGCTCCACCCAGCATCTCCCAATAACCTGGAAATAAAGCGACGCCTAGATAAATAAATAATAAAGAAAACTGCCGCTGCGGCTGTAAATACACAGAAATATTTGTACCGGATCGCAGCAGACTGACAGATGTAATCGCCTTTATTAGGCGTTTGCTTGGCAGGAAACGAGTGCTGTCCGACATCAACTGTCACCAGCATCATCTCGGATGCCCCAACTCGAGGGACCTGGATGTGAAAGCGGAGTAAAGGCCGTGTCTTGTGTTATTTAGACAGCCCTGCGATAAGAAAGGGGGGGAATGGTTGCAGTAGAAGCAGCGGCAGCAGCGGGGGAGAAGCTAGCTAACTCCATCAGCCGGCAATTTCACCCGCTATTTTACTACTTTAAGGACACTGTGGAAAAAATGAGCGGACACTGAGGCGCATTTTAGGCTGTCTTCAGTTACGAATAATGGAACACAGGCGCCAAAACGAGAGGGAAATGATGTTATTAGCCAGTTAGCTAACGTTAGCCCAGCTAGCTGCTAGTTAACGTTAACTACAACAAATTAGTGGGCTGAGTTAGCCTAGCTAACTCAGCCCACTAATTTCCATAGGCAGGTACAGTAGTCGTTTAGTTGCTGACTAACGCTAGCAACTTTGGTATATTTAGTGAGTGGAAGGGTTTTTTTCCCCCTTGGAGACACACCTCTTGCATTCAGAGTTTACAATTCCCTGCTGTAAACGAGGCTAGCTAGCTAAGCAGCGGTGCCGATCAGCGCAGCACCCGTCTGCTGTGGTGTCGCTGCAGAAGTCGTAGCTTTCCTGATTAACTCTCAAACGGTCGTCAAACATGGCTCAAGAAGCGTTTCCTTTGCATTATCTGGTTTGGAACAATCAGTACCTGGAGCTGGATCGAGAGCTACAGAAGAAAGAGGTAAGACGGGTGTCTTTGATTTTGTTTTTTGGAGCTGATGATAGATGATGGAGGGGTTTTTGGCATGTCGAACTGCATTGCGCTCATGCTGCTGCTGCTGCTTGTGTGTTTGGTTTTGCAGCAGGATCTGGAGCGCTTGGATCCGAGAGGGCGCACCCCGCTGGAGCTTGCTGTGTGTCTGGGCCACCTGGAGTCAACCCGGGTGCTGCTCAGGCACTCTGCAGACCCTACACATTGCAACGCACAGGGCTGGACCAGTAAGTGCTCTGCTGCTTCTCTGTTTCCTACCCTCAGGCTACTGAGGGAAAGAGAAACACCCTCTGTAAATAAATGCATGTTTCAGTCTTGCAGGAGGCAGTGAGCACGGGGGACCCTGAGCTTGTACAGCTGGTGCTTCAGTACAGAGACTTCAAGCGTGCCACTGAGAGACTGGCGGGCATTCCCGAGCTGCTCAGCAAACTAAGACAGGTAGATCCATCTGGTTGCACAAATGTAATCTCTTGGGTTTTACACCTGACCCGTTGAACTGAGACAACCCTCATCAATTCCTTGGTGCCTGGTTGAGGTTGATGTGTCAGTGTATGTTTTTAGCAGCTCTTGAGCTGTATTGAATCTGAAGGCACAAACGGAAGAAGACTTGAGAAGATCTAAGAGTGTCTTCTGTGTCTTCCAGGCACGAGACTTTTATGTGGAGATGAAGTGGGAGTTCACCAGTTGGGGTGAGTGTGGCTCATTAATGCATATCCACAGAGGTCAGTTTCAGCACCACAAGTAGCTGGACAGCTCCCACAACAGCAGCAAACAGATGTTGTTCAGTGGATTAAAATTAAAGTATCACTACCAACCAGATTATAGCATATATGATTCTCTCATTGACAGTTAATAAATTTATACAAAAATTGTCAGCTTTATTGTCAGCCAGCTTTTTATTCATTAGGTATTCAAATTGTTTCTAGTGCTACTTCACTGTAACTGCATCTCATCTTCTTCAACTTCCATCTCAGTGCCCTTGGTGTCAAAAGTGTGCCCCAGTGATGTCTACCGGGTGTGGAAGAGTGGCTCTTGCCTCCGTGTGGACACCACACTCCTGGGTTTTGAACACATGACTTGGCTGAAAGGACGACGCAGCTATATCTTCAAGGGTGGAGGTATGCGCTTTTTGCACCTTAGGCCACAATAGCATGCAAGCCTTTTAACTAACATAGATAGATTCTGAGCTGATGTAGGCCATCCCTGAAAGACTAAAAAGCAATTCTGTTCTTCTAGCTTTGTGATGGCTTTCATACTGTCAGAATTACTGTCATTTTCCTCTTGCACTTGTATCTTGATTGAGTTTTGTATGCACCCTGATTACAAAGCCTAGCTGTTTGTGCTATTTGTCCGTCTCTTCCCAGACGATGGGGCAGTGGTCATGGAGGTGGACCATGAGAAGCAGGTCGTGTACACAGAGCCGCTTGTGTTGTCCCCTCGTGATGCGCCTTCGCTCCTGGCAGCAATGCAGCCATCTCAAGAGAACACAGCCCAGAGACTCACATCGCCTATTGTCTCCACACACCTCAACACTCGCAATATTGCATTTGAGCGGTAACATACTGTATACATATACGCAGAATTCTTAAATTATTTCTACACATCTCATTTGTCATGCTTCCGTGCATAAACTCTGAGTGCATCCTCGCAGTTAATCATGTAGAAATATATATTATATTAGCACAATGAGTACTTAATTTGTCATTGTGTGTTTAGGAACAAGTCTGGAATCTGGGGCTGGCGCTCTGAGAAGAGCGAGGTCGTCAGTGGGTATGAAGCTAAGGTAAGTGCGAGTGAGCCCATTTAGTTTTAGATGTATTTAATTATTTATTTCAAACTGTGCTTTTGAATTTAGACAGGCAGACACTCATACTCCTGACTGTACACCCCTGTTTTATGGTTATTAAAAATAAAAAAAAATGTTTTTGTAAAAGCAAACTAAAATGCTCACGGGTGCTTTTCCTTTGTGCGTTGTTGTGTAAAGGTTTACAGCGCTACCAATGTGGAGCTGGTGACTCGTTCAAGGACAGAACATCTGTCAGACCAGGACAAGTCGAGAAGCAAAGGTAACAACGGATACACACAGATACACACCTCAGTTATGAGGTGTGTATCTTGAACAGATCATGGAGACTGAGAAATGTGATTTTTCACCAATTTATTGTAATAAAATGTTGATTGTATTAGAAAATTAGCTCTTCATGGATACTTTCCTTAAGTGGATTTATTATGCTTTTACTTGTTTCTGGTCATATATACACTGCTACAAGTGTGAATGCTCATGTTAGATGTGGTCAAGGTTTTAAATAATAAGTATGAGTAATCCCTCTGAGACTGAAACCGAAGCATCTAACTGCTCAGAATGCTCCATGTCAGATAGATCATCAGTCCATAGGTACAGTAAAAGATAAATAAGGACTATTTTGAACTATGAGTCTTGTAGAGCTGCTCTAATAAAGTCACGGAATAAAAATATGGGGCTGGAAATTTACAGTCCACTTTAAACAGACCATACAGAGTAAATTTTAATGGATTTTTGTAGCACTTTTATAGTGATCTCTTTTTATTCCTTTTCGTCTTCCTACTCAGGCTCAAAGACTCCTCTGCAGTCTTTCCTGGGGATTGCTGAACAGCACACAGCTCACAATGGGGTAAGTCTCAGCAGCGCCCGTGCATTAACATCTACACACAAACACACCACCTACACTGCTTTCAGCCTCCTTTAATGAACACTGTTACTTACTGCTCCCTTTCCATATTTCTCTTAGAGCAATGTGTCCCAGTGCGCCAGTCCTCACAACCCCACAGCCATCACAGCTGAGGAATACTTCAACCCGGAGTTCAACTTGAACGGCCGCGACATTGGACGTCCCATCGAGCTTACCAGCAAAGTTCAGAGGTAAGATACACAACGCAAATCCATGCACAGATGTTCATCACCACCCTTATTTCTCTTTTTGTTGTTCTGCCTCCATTCTAGGTTTAAAGCAACGCTGTGGTTGAGCGAGTCTCACCCTCTGTCCCTGGCCGAGCAAGTGACACCCATCATAGACCTCATGGCCATTTCGAATGCCCACTTTGCCAAGCTGCGTGACTTCATCACCCTCCGCCTGCCACCAGGCTTCCCTGTCAAGATAGGTGAGTGTGGTTAAAGATATATGTTGTTAGTGGCACTATTTGAGAAAGTTTGCCAACTTGACATCATCTCACGGTAGTTATTTTGCAATAACAAGAGCAAGCACCTGTATAAATGAAAGAGGAGAGAGCAAAGACTTTAGTTTCTATGTTCACCAGGGTGTAAAAATCACATGTATCAAATCATCGGTCAAAACTGGTTAAATCCAAATGGCAACTGTCTTGTTTAGGGTGTGCAATCCTAGCTTATATGAAGTATATAATTATATTAAATATATCGAAGAGCCCAGAAATGCAATCACCTCTGAGCCTCCAATCACCTTTTGTGGGTTTGGAAGGAGTTTTGTTTATATTTTTTTGTTTCAGTCCTTGTTGGCCACCACATCTCATGTCTGACTGAACTCTCCGTCTGCCTTTCAGAGATTCCTCTGTTTCATGTGTTGAATGCCAGAGTGACGTTCAGCAACCTGTGCGGCTGTGACGAGCCGGTCAGTTCTGTGACGGTTCACAAACCAGAGAGCCCCGGAGAAGCTGGTAACTACTGACCTAACATTTAGTGGTACCTGATACCTTTACGTGACTTTAAATCGACGTGTAATCATTATCGTTGTTATTATCATGTACCTTCTCATATCACAGGTCAGGCCACTCCTCCCTTCCACTGTGAGGTGGACCCCTCAGTGTTTGAGCCCCCTCCCGACTACACCACTCTCGGTCCGGGCCGCAGCGAGCCAATGAGGGACGAGGATGACAACCTGCTGCAGTTTGCCATTCAGCAGAGCCTGCTGGACGCCGGCACAGAGAGCGACCAGGTCAGAACAAATCCCCTTCTGGGTCACAGAGCCTTGTTCTTCTTTTCCTTTCAAGACTTCTCTGTTTTTTAAAATTTTCTCTCAGTTTATTAATTTGCCCTTCTCATGTGACGTTTTACAGCACCTTTTAAAAAACAAAGGGTCTTGGGTCATAATACTGTTACAGTGTTTTTATCATCTCAAATTCATTCCACTGTGAATTATTTAAAAGCTCAGCTCAGTCTCTGTGTAGGTTGTCCTTAAATCTAAAGCCAGGTGTAATCCTTGTGTCTGGTTTTCAGGTGACCATCTGGGAGGCCCTCACCAACAGCCGTCCGGTGCCACAGTCTCCCCTGTACGAGGAAGACTCTCAGCTGGAGAGGTGAGCTTATCCTCAGGCTTTACCTGTCTTCTTTTCTTAAACTGGCCATGTCCTTAATAATTACGTCAAACATTCTGAGATGGCACACAACACACCTAAGGACTATTTCCAGATTGTCGTGTTTGACAGAGAGGAGCATAAACCTGGCAGCTGAGTCACTCATCTATGCAACACATGTTAATGACTGGTCCGTGGACTGTTGGCTGGACATTCTGACTTTTGTTTGTTCTGCAAATGAAATGATGAGACTAAACGGCTGCTATCACAGTCAGTCTGTCTAAATCGTATGCAACACAGATCAGCTGCCAGGCCCAGCTTCAGTTCACGGACACTTTCATGCTGCTCACTCTAGTTAAAGGTTTTACGCTTGAATGAAAGAGTCAGAAAACCGCCAGAGATATGAGGACATGCAGGTAGATATCCTCCATATGTTTTCTCTGGTATTAAATTTTAATACTTTCTAAGAAAGTGATAACACCTCTGCAACCAAATTTAACAGGCTCTTCTTTCTTGCCAGTGCTCCGCCTCTTCACTATGGAAACAAATGGCACCGATCATATACTTTTCACTCACTTTTTGAAATGTCTGGTTAAAAGGTTATGACCTCACAAACTCTCTTGTAGTTGTTACTGTAAAGAAAAATCAGACAGTTTTAACTTATCTTCCTTGTTGTTATGTAGGGAAATCCCTGGCTTGTGAAGTGACTTAATTACACATTTCTAAATAGAGTTCAGTGATGAGCTTTTTCTTCCCACCTTCTCCTGAGAGCTCCAGCTTAAATTTATCCTGTAATGAAGCGCAGCTTGAAAAGTCTCCTGTTAAGAGACCCGTCGTTATTTAACGGTATCCTCATTTCTCTCCCGTCTCAGGGCGATCCAGGAGTCTCTGTCCATCTCACTGGCCAGCAGAGAGGGAGAGGAGATGGCTGACCCCAGCCAGCCCTCTTCTGTCTCTCCGTTGGACCCCACCGCCAACTCCCCGCTCTCCTACAGCACAGTGACCGATCCGCGCTTATCCGCACACTACGGCGTGGCGACCAGCTTCGACGAGCAGCTGCGGATTGCCATGGAGCTGTCCTGCAGGGAGCAGGAGGAGATAGACAGGTGGGAGTGGAGACGAGATGGATGAGGAAATGAGTCATTTCTGAAATTGTGGGTTTATATGACCTATAATTGTTAGACAGAAGGAAGAAACCACAACAAACAAACAAAAAACCTCTCACACCTGCTAGAATTTGTAGAGCATACAAAGTATTAGTCATCTTTTTTATTTTTGTTTTAATTTAATGGAGTGTGCACACAGAGAGTGCCGCCCTCTGCTCTTTCATCTCAAACTCGTATTTTGGCAGCATGGTGTGACAAACAACAACTGCGACACTTTAGGTGTCAAAAATCTCCCAAAAAACAAATGATGCTGACAAATTATTCCCTGCTTAGGGAAGCAGTTGGATTCAGATGGATTCATCCATTCATCTAACCACCCTTTTTCATAACCACGTATCTAATTCAGGGTTACCCATCTGTCACTGAGCTAGAGGCGGGGGACACTGCAGACAAGTTTCCTTGCTCTCACGTGGCTGGAAACTAGGGCAGGGCGATATGGCCTAAAATTCATATCGCGATATGATTTGACGCATGTGCGGTAACGATATATATCACAATATATTATTTTCTTCTGTATAACATATTTTCCACACTATAAGGCACATTTAAAATCCTTTATATGTCTCAAAAATCGAGAGTGTGCCTTATGTATGAATTCTGGTTGTGCTTACTGAC